TGATTATCAGCTTTCTGTGGTTATATTTTATGTTGTAAGTAATCTGAAAATGGAGATTTCCCACTTTTGGCAGGTAGTTTGATGTCTGATTTTATTCTGTGTCAGGCTCCCGGCATTTTTGACCCATGAGTTATGTCTAATGGTGTTTCCGTAGCCGGGGTGGCCAGCACGCGGCCACCCAAGGGTACGGCGTCTTCCACCACCCAAAGACAGCCAGGGTGGCAAAATGAACAAGTTTTGATTGAGTTATTTTCCCTTCATTTTAGCCATATTTATACACACAAACAATACTGGGGATATAAAATACTTTTTGCCCAGCAAGCGAATTGAACCGAGGCATCCTGGATTTATATGGACTGCGTTACCGACTACGCCAAACTGCACTAGTTATGAGCGCGCGTCATAGCCATACATACCTATAGTTATATCCCTTCTACCGTTTTCGGCAGTCGAGTCGTGGGTTTTGGTCACGTGCTCTCATCCCGTGCCCGCGTTTCGTGGGGGTGAGTTTGTCGCCCCTAGCTGCGCTAGCTGATACCTTGCGACTTGAAGGCACTGACTGATTATTCAAGGGCATGCAGGTTGCTGGGAAGGAATATTGCCGGGACAGTGCTGGGGCACAGTTGCGGATACACTTCCCCGTGTTGTCCCTCCACTGACTTCGGTGGCGGTCGGCAACGTCCAAAAGTGACTTTGTCACGCTATTATACACTACCTGTTAAAATCAGGACCCCTGAAAATACTGCTAAATGCCGGTGCGAGACTCAAAATTTCCATGTCTGGATTGTCTGAGGCTCCCCCAGCATTTTTGTCCGGATAAAATACCGGTGATAAGCCTCAGGATCGTCTGACCCCCGAACACGCGGATTCAGCACATCATACAAGCGCCCCGGAGCTTATTTGACACAGCGCTCGCATGCCTCTAGGCTTCTATGGGCTCTAAAAGACTTTTTCTATTTAGCTCCGGACTTCCCAACATCCTCGAGGCGTACTCGGACCCATTCCGCGATTTATCTCCGTGCACCGAAGCTCCGGAGTGACTTAACCAATGCGACTTCTAGCTGCATTAGCTCCGGGACCCGCGGACACTTCTATCGAGGGGCGTCTTCCTCATGCCCACCCTCCAGCACTCACTCCCCCTCGTTTCCGTCAAGATACCAAAGGTGCGGACGCATACGAGTCACCATAAGGTCAGCATCAGTCAGCAAACGGCCGGAGGTAATTAACACGTGACCGGCGTGTCGCACGGAGTGATGGGACCGCTTGGGTCAGGTGGCGGAGCGTCGAGGCGACCTATAGGGGCTGGAAAGAGCAAGTGGGAGCGCGAGAGAGTCGTATGGTGTATGGTATAGCGGAGGAAAGTGCTGAGCAATCCTGTGGGTAGCGGCGTTTATTTGTTATTTATCTCCGAACGGTCGCAAAGCCATTCCTGTAGTATAAATTGTACAAAGTAGCATACAGAAAAGCAAGTTTCGACTTCACCATCTCAGAGAATTAGTGTTACGATCTCAGCGACCCGAGAAGTTCGAAAGCGTTGAACCTAGCGAATTATAACCGATCCTAGCTTTGCCAATAGGCCTGACTCGTCGAGTGAATTATCTTCGCCATCGATTCAATTAGCTCCGGTGAGTCTCACATAGCGAAATAAAATTAACCAAGTTTCTCTAGCAATTTCTACTCCCGTGGGCCCGAACCTACACTCGGTTTTGTGGCTTGCGACTTTGTCTGCGACTTTCCGGAGATAAATACTCCGGAGCGTCCCTTAGTGTTTGTTTCAGGCGTCAAGGTTTTGTTTTATTTTTCTAGGTCTTCCTACGGACTACCCTACGGCGTCTTACTCCTCCTTTCCCCCTCGAACTATTAAATACCCTTCAGTTGTCTCGGACCGCCTTCACCCATATCACGGGGTTTAGGTTTATTTCTTTTGGTCCTTGGTGATTGTTGTGTGTCAGTGCATATCACCGGCCTCCCGAAGGGGCCGATTTTTGTCCGGACTAATGCACCAGCGTCTAAAAAAACAGTAAAAAAAGGGTTTCTCACCTATCAACTCATTAGAACACTGTACAATGTATCAGTAATCATACTAGGACTTGAATGTAGTCAATGAAGCGACAGAATTCACGAAGGCTGCCCACTCCCATCAACCATCCTCCTCCCCATCCGAGTCCAGACCCTGGAGTGCGGCATTCATTTTGCCTTTATCCCAATCCAATCCTTGGGATTGAATGAGATGTCCACCTCTTCCATGAGGTCAATGTCTGCCACGCCCTAATGTGAATCCCACGCTGAGACTGCTGTACCCCATATGAACGAGCTCGAAGCGCACACGTTAAGTATTGCGGGCGTCGTCCATGCTTCCAGAGTCATGTAAAGTGGTGATGGTGTAGGGAAACTTTGACGATACAGCGTACTGATCTCAGCCACATTCAGCCACTGGACATCGGAGCCCATTGTGCTACATACTAGAAACTATATATCACAGTGCAAATAAGGGCTACACGAGGCTACACGACGGTACACAATGACAGGTTGGGACAAACCTCAGCCATAATTGGGTTAAAATACATGTACTACAAAGGGTAAATACATTGGGCCAGTCCGTTGCCAACTTGCCACACAGCCGTGTCCGGACTGTAACCGGCATGGTAGCTCGGTCATGACCGGTGCCCGGACTGTAAAACCGGAATGGCCAGTTTGGTCATCCATCCTTGTCCGGATGGCGTCTGGCATGGAGGGCCAGGCTCCTAAACCACCGTCCTTAGCGTTCTCGCTCCTCCTTTACTAGGGCGCACATGCAATGTTATGTAATACAAATCTATTTTTAATTTATTACCGGATACAGAATGAACAGAGGAGGAGAACACTATAGGATGGCTGGAAGAAATCGTCTCCCCGAGATCACCGAGTATGACTAAGCATTCCAAAAGCGGTAGCGACTGAGGCCTTCCACCAGCAGTCGGCGGAGTGTAGTACAAGCATTGGGGCACATAACAATGATATTTGGAGCACCTTCCACTTGGATATGATGCACCAATGGTATGACATAAATGAAAGCAAATACAAGCATTGACAGTGTCACTGAGGGCTGAACATTAGGTTCAGAAGCTATAATAAATTCCTCCAAGGGATGGTAGCTCACGGAGGGTGTTAATACTGGGGGAGTACCAGTAAGATACCTTTTTATGCCTTTCTATATATTTTTTGTATTTGCTGGTTTTGAGGTGCTCCTTGTATTGCCCGCCGACTGCTGGTGGAAGGCCTCAGCCGCTACCGCTTTTGGAATGCTTAGTCATACTCGGTGATCTCGGGGAGACGATTTCTTCCAGCCGTCCTATAGCGTTCTCCTCCTCTGTTCATTCTGTATCCGGTAATAAATTAAAAATAGATTTGTATTACATAACATTGCACGTGCGCCCTAGTAAAGGAGGAGCGAGAACGCTAAGGACGGTGGTTTAGGAGCCTGATGGAGGGCTCGAGACCGCGATTTTTGTCCGGACTGGCACCGGCATCTATCGGTATTTTCAGGGGTCCTTTAATATCCCGTTGGGCCTCGGGCGGTCATTCTTAGCATGTAAACCTCCTTATATAAGTTCCGATTCCCTTGGGAATTGGTTATCAGTACAGTACTGGCTTCAGTGGCAACACGTGGCTTTTCGTTGGACAGGGGCTATTTACCTCGTTTTAGAATGACTTTATTTATATCCTTCGGGCATTACAGTCGTTTGCCAGGCTCCTAGTAGTCTCGTACCCATCCCCTCTGGAGAGAATCGGAACTATCCGCGCGGAGTTTCAAAAACCTGCGCGACGTTCTCTCCAGAGGGTCTGGTGTACTTCGTTCGATGACTATTGTTGACGTCATTTTGTCGTGGTGGTGTCACAGTGTGTCACGGCTTGGCTGTTGGGGGGGCCTGTCACGTTTCCGTCATGGCAATAGTCCTCGAACGAAGTACACCAGATGTTCTGGAGAGAATCTCGTTCAAGTTTTTGAAACTCCGACCGGATAGTTCCGCTTCTCTCCAGAACGTCTGGCTTGCGAGACCAGATGTTCAGTTTCTTATGCAAACGACTGTATCCCCCCATTTGTACTGAGGGGTTTCGTACCCTCTTGCATCCGTCCTCTAGGGGTCATTTGGTGGTGGTATGGTCTGCTGTGAGGAGATCATGTACTGTAGCCCTCAATGCGGACTTTGGTGGTAGCTACTTAAGATAGGGCCAGCTCATGTACGACTACCTTGGTCACACCGTGACAATCACGTGAAGGGTCGGACCCCGCAAAGTCATTCAGCCACCGGGATAGAGTAACGAGATGCTTGATACATTATCTACGCTTGCGCAAGGTATTATATATACGTGTACTGTTAGTTATAGGAATCTTAGCTAAAGGATTAATGTTAGCTGTACTCTGCATCAGTAAGCACAGGAAGGCATTAAATGCCGGCTCTCTCGAGTTCTTGCAGGATCGAGTTTGGGAGCACGCGATGGCCGCGATATTTCTTCGACGCCCACGCAGCCTGCTTGCCCGAAAGTCCCTTGCAGTAAGCGTCCATGAAGCGGAACGCGCGAGTCGAAAATCTAGAGACCAATTAGAGTTATTGCACAATGTAAAGAACAAGAACGGAGATACTTACTTGCGCATTGTTACGAGAGGTACGGCGTCCAACGCAGCAATGACATTACGTTCGAGATCTGCCTCGGAAGATGATGTCGGGTTCTTGCGATATGTTCGCTTCGCATGGCCCCAACATTGTTCGATGAAGTTTAGTTCACAGTGGAACTTGGGAAGAAAATATACTTCATAACCTCGACCCTTACACGTTGTCTCAAGGAGTGACTCGACATCCACAAAATCAGGCTGATTGTAGAGAACCCAACGGCAGCAGCATCGTGGCACATCCTTTGGACGGAACTTGGGACATTCGGCACGGAGCTGCTGTGCATCTGTGATGCCTCGTTCCTCAAGTATCACTGCCATTCCCTTGAAGACACCCTCTCGTTCATGCCCTGGTGGGAAATAGAGTGACTGCGGAGTCCCATCCGCAAATTGCGCGTCAGCCATACGGACTCTGGTCTTGAGTACCTTGCCATCCGGACCATAGATTGGTTTCCCATCATCACCGACAACCTTTCTATCAACACCAAAGAGGGGAGCACCAGGCTTTGTGGGAAACTTCGGCATGCGGCGAGCGGAGAGAGAATCGTCAGCGCGTTTGAGATGGGTCGTTGCATTGTCGAAGATGAACACATGCTTCTCGTTCGGGAAGTGCTTATCCAGGATGCTCATGGCAGTCTCAGCATGCGCGAGGATGTCCTCATTTGTGAAGTAGCCATCGCGTGCCTTGTCCGCCCGGAAGAGAACTCGTGCTTCCTCTTGCTCAAATCGAAGCCAGCCATAGTCAGCTGAGACGAAGTCAGCAACCATGAGTGATGCACCCTCGCCTTTCTGACGGGGAACAGCTGTCGCATCTTTTGGCACCCAGTAAATGAGTCTACGGTCATGAGCATAGAATGTCGATTCATCATGCCACCAGATGACTGTCCGGCGATTCCGCGGGAGCTTCTCACCAGTCATCTCCTCGATGCCGTCCTTCCATCGACGCAGATTCCATTCGAGTTCAGCAATCGTCGGAAGGAAGATTTCTTGCCGGTATGTCGTGACATCCTCTCGCTCGTGGCCATCGACGTACTGACCGGATGGTGTCTTTGTCCATCAGTAATCCATCATATGAAGCCAGGATTTTGCCGTCGAGAGAGATATCGTGTTCTTCAAGCCATAACGTGCTTTGATCTTGGGAGTGTCCAGGAAATGGACAATGTCCATTGCCTTGATATACTTGCCAATGCTCTGTAGGTGTTCTTGGATCTCCTTTGCCAGTTCACCTTTGTGCAGCAGGCTCACGTTCCATGCACCATAGAGGTTCCGTGGGAGATCAGCACGATCTGCGATGAAAGACTGGGCCCATTCCCGGAGCTTTTTCGCCGTATGGCTCGACTTCCGCCACACACTGGCCGTCTTGAGTGATGCCGAGATCCATGTTTGCTTCTCGTTTGGATCTATAAATATGCTCAGGTGCATTTTGAGCATAAGCAACCTCTCGCGGAGGAATTCGTCTCCTTCGAATGGGTTATGGCCAATGCCAGATTTCCGGCGGGGGCTCAAGATTGTGGTAAGGTCCTTCCACGCAGCGGTAGCAGCTTCAATTGACGGAGCCTGATACAGGCTTGTTTCGGCCTGAGAAGCACTTGCTCGTTGGATTGCATCACGAGAGGTTGATTCTATTTGTGGGGATCTGTCATCGAATAACACACCCGCGCAATCATCTCCCTCCCTTCCATCCTCATCTTCCGATGAATCCTCCTCCCCCAGCTGCCCAGACGTTAGAAAAAGCTCATCAGGCTCGAGCTCGGGCGGCACGGTGCCTCCATCACCACCACCCCAAGGCTGCTCTGTCCCGGATGACTCGGAAAGCTCCCTCGGGACATCATCTGAGCCCCAAGTAGGCCTTATGATGTCCTGGAAGGTGTGCTTCATCCGTTCAACAGCAGCGGCCGCCTTCTCCGTGTTAATGGCAGGCACCTTCGAGAAGACAGTCGTCTCGTGAGTTAGCTTCCCTATTTACCTTTTCATGGTACTCACATTCTCCTTATCCTCCTCACCCTTGCCACCGAGACGCGTAGACCGCGCTTTCTTGCAGTTCTGGACGCGCGCCGAGTTCGCGCGATTCCGTTTAACCATACATCGTGGTGGACGCGGTCAACGCGCCTGGGTTTCGGGGTCCCGCTTCAGTGTCTTTTCTTCACTCTAGTTTGCCTTATAGTAGCTTCCACAGAGCGGATATCTCAAATGTTTTTTATAGGAAATGTTGCTATGGACATGCTCATCAATTCGTATAAAAAAATTCTGTAAAAACGAGCTGTAGAATATCTTATAAGCCAAAGTGTATGTTCTCCCCGCCAAACGTGACAGAAAAAGTCACGTGATGCTAGTCGTACATGAGCTGGCCCTATCTTACCTGCTGGACATAAATTGAGTCTCCTGCCATATTGAGGCGGCTGTCAGGCCGGCCGAAATGTGGCGGCTCAAAATGAGCTTTCTTGATGTACATGTTGTTCTCCGGCAGTGGTTCTATGTTCAACTGTTCGCTCTCCAGAGCTCTAGGAACGGTCAAGCGGAAGGGAATCGGACTCCGGCGTGCCGCGCAGCGCCGTACTTAAGCAAGTTATTTGCATCGCTACAAAGTGTTTCTGGAGCTTAGATCCGAACGGTGGATGACATGCCATCCGTGACCTAGTGACGTGACTCAGTCCCCGACTCCCACGGTAGTTGGGAGGAGGGTTCTGTCGGGAAGAAATGGTCGCTCCACCATACAACTCACTCTCGCCGTGAGAACCTCATGTAAGCAACATCCCAACCAGACCGACGCCACTTTCGTTTCGACTTGAAGACAACTGCCCACACACACCTGACGTGAAAGGTCAAAGTGGTGCAGTGCGTAGCATTCGATGAAAGGATGCATTGACACAAGTGAGGCTGACAAATGAGACTGGGAGGAAGTAAATCTGATCATAGGAAAGTTTACGGTCTTAATCGGATTACATAAGCAACTCCCGCCACCGCTGCAAGTCAAGCTCGGGAGGCGGGCAGATGCAGCCTCCTCCATGAGGGTACGGTAGGGTAGAAAATTCGGAATAAATTTTCTTTGAACTATAGTACATGTGCAGCTACTGTACAGTGCAGCTAAGTAAGGAATAAATACCAGGAGCAAGCAAATAGGTCAGCTAAAGCTCGGGGCAAGCCACAGATCTGGGTGCCGAGTGGACTGTGATGCCGCGGTTGGGACTGTGAATTTCCCGACCCGAACCTAGCTGAGGAGGGGGTCGATTTTGGCGCTCGCCCGCGCCAAATCACGTCACGATGCGATTTCCGCTGGCGAAATTCACAGTCCATAGCCTTCATCAGGAAAACCCTCCCAAGCTAATTAGACATAATTTAGACAAAATTATGCATGATGACAAAAATCTTTGTTATATGTATAATGGCTGCATAATCCAGAATGACCAACAGCTAATCTACATGTCCCAGTTTCAAAAAAGTAATATACAGTTGTTAGCAACTCTAGGACATGGTCTTGCGTTAATATGTTTGGGCAGATCCTTGAGACTGCCTCCGTGCGCGATCTCTGCAGTCATTGCTGCAGGGCAAGTATATGAAGTAATTTGATGAATAGTCACGTACCCTGCATAGCATCCATCCCACCGCACAGTTTCGGTGTTCAAGCTACTAATAGTAAGGAATGAAAGGAGGAAACCCACAGGTGCCACGACGCGTATCGAACCCGTGCGAACCCACATTGATGGTGCGGGTACGCGGGTACCTGCAGGTTTCGGTTTCGAGGGCACGTTAAACAACGCATCCTCGATACCCATCAGGTCACAGGTACGGCGAAACACGACCCGTACCCATGCCAGGATAAGGAGGTGACCCGTGCCATTCATGCAAGCATAGTCTTCGGGTTCACTGAGATGCGGTTGTTCTTTGTATCAGCGAGTCTTCACCTGCTTGATATCAGCCAAGTAACAGGGAGCCGACAGACACCTGCGAACGGACCGGAACAGTTACCAGCTGAGCTCCAGGAAG